CCTTATCCCACCCTTCCCACCCATCCTCTCTAGTCCCTTTCCCTTTGGTAACTGTTAGTCCATTCTTGGGTTCTGTGAGTCTGCTGCTGTTTTTTCCTTCTGTTTTTGCTTTGTTCTTATACTCCACAGATGAATGAAATCATTTGATACTTGTCTTTTTCCGCCTGGCTTATTTCACTGAGCATAATAGCCTCTAGCTACATCTATGTTGTTGAAAATGGTAGGATTTGTTTTCTTATGGCTGAATAATATTCCATTGTGTATATGTACCACATCTTCTTTTTCCTTTTATCTACTGATGGACACTTAGGTTGCTTCCATCTCTTGGCTATTGTAAATAGTGCTGCGATAAACATAGGGGTGCATATGTCTTTTTCAAACTGAACTGCTGTGTTCTTAGGGTAAATTCCTAGGAGTGGAATTCCTGGGTCAAATGGTATTTCTATTTTGAGCTTTTTGAGGAACCTCAATACTTCTTTCCACAATGGCTGAACTAGTTTACATCCCCACCAGCAGTGTAGGAGGGTTCCTCTTTGTCCACAACCTCACCAACATTTGTTGTTGTTTGTCTTTTGGATGGTGGCGATCCTTACTGGTGTGAGGTGATATCTCATTGTGGTTTTAATTTACATTTCTCTGATGATTAGTGATGTGGAGGATCTTTTCATGTGCCTGTTGGCCATCTGAACTTCTTCTTTGAAGAAGTTTCTGTTCAGATCCTCTGCCCATTTTTTAATTGGATTATTTGCTTTTTGTTTTTTTGAGGTGCGTGAGCTCTTTGTATATTTTGGATGTCAACCCCTTATCAGATAGGTCATTTATGAATATATTCTCCCATACTGTAGGGTACCTTTTTGTTCTGTTGATGGTGTCCTTTGCTGTACAGAAGCTATTTAGTTTGATATAGTCCCACTTGTTCATTTTTGCTTTTGTTTCCCTTGCCCGTGGAGATGTGTTCATGAAGAAGTTGGCCATTTTTATATTCAAGAAATTTTTGCCTGTGTTTTCTTCTAAGAGTTTTATGGTTTCATGACTTACATTCAGGTCTTTGATCCATTTTGAGTTTACTTTTGTGTATGGAGTTAGACAGTAATCCAGTTTCATTCTCTTACATGTAGCTGTCAAGTTTTGCCAACACCAGCTGTGGAAGAGGCTGTCATTTACCCATTGTATATTCATAGCTCCTTTATCGTATATTAATTGACTGTGTATGCTTGGGTTAATATCTTGACTCTATTCTGTCCCAGTGGTCTATGGGTCTGTTCTTGTGCCAGTACCAAATTGTCTTGATTACTGTGACTTTGTAGTAGAGCTAGAATTTGGGAAGCGAGATCCCCCCTGCTTTATTCTTCCTTCTCAGGGTTGCTTTCGCTATTTGGGGTCTTTGGTGTTTCCATATGAATTTTAGAACTATTTGTAGCAGTTTGTTGAAGAATGCTGTCAATATTTTGATAGGGATTGCATTGAATCTGTAGATTGCTTTAGGCATGATGGCCATTTTGACAATATTAATTCTTTGTAGCCAAGAGCATGGGATGAATTTCCATTTATTAGTGTCCACTTTAATTTCTCTTAAGAGTGTCTTGTAGTTTTTAGGGTATAGGTCTTTTACTTCCTTGGTTAGGTTTATTCCTAGGTATTTTATTCTTTTTGATGCGATTGTGAATGGAATTGTTTTCCTGATTTCTCTTTCTGCTAGTTCATCATTAGTGTATAGGAATGCAACTGATTTCTGTGCATTAATTTTGTATCTTGCAACTTTGCTAAATTCAGATATTAGTTCTAGTATTTTTGGACTGGATTCTTTAGGATTTGTTATGTACAACATCATGTCATCTGCAAGTACTGACAGTTTGACTTCCTCCTTACCAGTCTGATTGCCGTGGCTAGGACTTCCAGTACTATGTTGAATAAAAGTGGAGAGAATGGGCATCCTTGTCTTGTTCCTGATCTTAGGGGAAAAGCTTTCAGCTTCTCACTGTTAAGTATAATGTTCGCTGTGAGTTTGTTGTATATGTCCTTTATTATGTTGAGGTACTTGCCCTCTATACCCATTTTTTTGAGAGTTTTTATGATGAATGGATGTTGAGTTTTGTCTAATGCTTTTTCATCACCTGTGGAGATGATCATGTGGTTTTGTCCTTCTTTTTGTTGATGTGGTGGATAATGGTGGTGGATGTTTGAATGTTGTATCATCCTTGCATCCCTGAGATGAATCCCACTTGATCATGGTGTATGATCCTCTTGATGTATTTTTGAATTCGGTTTGCTAATATTTTGTTATTTTTCCATCTATGTTCATCAGGGATATTGGTTTGTAGTTTTCTTCTTTTATGGTGTCTTTGCCTGGTTTTGGTATTAGAGTTATGTTGGCTTCATAGAATGAGTTTGGAAGTATTCCTTTCTCTTCTGTTTTTTGGAAAACTTTAAGGAGAATAGGTATTATGTCTTCTCTGTATATCTGTTGACATTCAGTGGTGAATCCATCTGGCCTGGAAGTTTTGTTCTTGGGTAGTTTTTTGTTTACCAATTCAATTTCATTCTTGGTCATTGGTCTATTTAGATTTTCTGTTTTTTCCTTGGTCAGTCTTGAAAGGTTTTATTTTTCTAGAAAGTTGTCCATTTCTTCTAGATTATCCAGTTTGTTAACATATAGGTTTTGGTAATATTCTCTAATAATTCTTCGTATTTCTATTGTGTCCGTCATAATTTTTCCTTTCTCATTTATGATTCTGTTTATATGTGTAGATTCTCTTTTTTCTTAATAGTCTGGCCAGGGGTTATCTATTTTTGTTTATTTTCTCAAAGGACCAGCTCTTGGTTTCATTGATTCTTTCTATTATTATTCTCAATTTTATTTATTTATTCTCTGGTCTTTATTGTCTCTCTCCTTCTGCTGATTTTGGGCCTCATTTGTTCTTCTTTTTCCACTTTCAGTTATTATGATTTTAGCCTTTTCATTTGGGATTGATCTTCCTTCTTTAAATAGGCCTGGATTGCTATATTCTTTCCTCTTAGAACTGCCTTCGCTGCATCCCACAGTAGTTGGGGCATTGTGCTGTTGTTTTCATTTGTCTCTATATATTGCTTGATTTCTGTTTTAATTTGGTCATTGATCTATTGAATATTTAGGAGCATGTTGTTTAGCATCCATGTGTTGGTGAGCCATTTTGTTTTCTTTGTACAATTTATTTCTAGTTTTATACCTTTGTGATCTGAATAGTTGATTCATAGAATTTCAATCTTTTTGAATTTACTGAAGCTCTTTTTGTGGCCTAGTATATGGTCTATTCTGGAAAATGTTTCATGTAAACTTGAGAAGAATGTGTATCCTGCTGCTTTTGGGTGTAGAGTTCTGTAGATGTTTCTGTTAGGTCCATCTGTTCTAATGTGTTGTTCGGTGCCTGTGTGTCCTTATTTTCTGTCTGGTTGATCTGTCCTTTTGAGTGAGTGGTGTGTTGAAATCTTCTAAAATGAATGCATTGTGTTCTATTTCTCCCTTTAATTCTTTTAATATTCATTTCACATATGTAGGTGCTCCTGTGTTCAATGCATACATATTTATAATGGTTATATCCTCTTGTTGGACTGATTCCTTTATCATTATGTATTATCCTTTGTTTCTTGTTACTTTCTTTGTTTTGCCATCTATTTTGTCTGATACAAGTATTGCAACACCTGCTTTTTTCTTCCTATTGTTTGCATGAAATATCTTTTTCTATCTCTTCACTTTTAGTCTGTGTATGTCTTTGGGTTTGACGTGTCTCTTTTAGGCAGCATATAGATGGCTATTGCTTTTTTATCCATTCTGTTACTCTGTGTCTTTTGATTGGTGCATTCAGTCCCATTACTTTTAGGGTGATTATCAAATATATGTACTTAGTGCCATTGCAGGCTTTGGTTTTGTGGTTACCAAAGGTTCAAGGGCAGCTTCTTTACTATCTAACCATCTAACTTAACTCACTTATTAAACTATTATAAACACAGTCTGATGATTCTTATTTCTCTCCATTCTTTTTCTTCTTACTCCCATCTTTATATGTTATGTGTTTTATTCTGTACTCTGTGTTTCCATTGACTGATTTTGTGGATAGCTGATTTTATTTTGCCTTTAGTTAGTATTTGTTTGGTCTACTTTCTTTGCTGTGGTTTTATTTTCTCTGGTGACAGCTATTTAGCTTTATGCATAGTTCCATCTAGAGCAGTCCCTTTAAAATGCATTGTAGAGATGGTTTGTGGGAAATAAATTCCCTGAAGTTTTGCTTATCTGGGAATTATTTAATCCCTCCTTCAAGTTTAAATGATAATCTTGCTGGATACAGTATTCTTGGTTCAAGGCCCTTCTGTTTCATTGCATTGAATATAACGTGCCATTCTCTTCTGGCCTGTAAGGTTTCTGCTGAGAAGTCTTCTGGGTTTTACTTTGTAGATGATCTTTTTTCTCTGTCTGGCTGCTTTTAATACTCTGTCCTTGTCTTTGATATTTGCTGTTTTAATTATTATATGTCTTGGTGTTGTCCTTGGTTCTCTTGTACTGGGAGATTTATGGACTTCCGTAGTCTGAGAGAGTATTTCCTTCTCCAGATTGGAGAAGTTTTCAGCAATTATTTCTTCTAAGGCACTTTCTGTCCCTTTTTATCTCTTCTTTTTCTGGTACCCCTATAATGCAAATATTGGTCACACAGTTTTTAAAATATTCTTTCATTCCTTGAGATTCTTTTATCTCTCTCTGCCTCAGCTTCTCTGTATTCCTGTTCTGATTTCTATTCCAGTAACAGTCTCTTCCACCTCATCTAGTCTGATCTTAGATCCTTCCATTGTTTGTTTCATTCCTGTTATCTCCCTCCTGAATTCATCCTTAGCTCTTGAATTTTTCTCTGTAGCTCCATCAGCAAGCTTACAACTTTTGTTTTGAATTCTTTTTCAGGAAGATTGATGATTTCATTCTCATCAAGCTCTCTCTCTGGTGTTTGAGGGATTTGGACTGAGCAAGTTTCTTCTGCCTTTTCATGGTCATGGGAGTGGTTTCTGTCAAGTGGTATATGTGTCACCTGGAAGAACAAAGTCCATTCCTGCTTGCTGGTCACCTTGCCTGTCTTTGCTGTTTGTGCCCATTAAACTCATACAGGAAGCAGCCTCTGGATTAATCCCCTAAGCTGCCATGTGTGGGGTGGCCTTCCAGATGGCCTATGGCAATCCCAGGGGTCATAGGTCACCAGCTTGTGCTGTGCCACAAGAGCAAAGCCCCTTTGTGCCTCATGGTCTCTGTGCCTGTCTTTTCTGTCTGTGCTTGTCAACTGCACACAGGGAGCAGCCTTTGGGTTAATCTCCTGAGGTGCCATCGGCAGGGCAGCCCTTGGAATGGGTTAGGCCACTGGCAGGGCTCACAGGCTAGCAGCAGGTGTTCTGCCACTAGAATAGAGCCTCTTCGTGCTTCTTCCACTCTGCACCCATCTCTGTTGTCTGTGCCAGTCACCCGCATGCAGGGAGCAGCCTCTGGGTTAATCCCCTAAACTCCATGGGTGGGGCGGCCCTCAGAATGCCCTAGGATACTGGTGGGAGTTGTAGGCAAGTAGTGTGTGTTTTGCCTTGAGAACAGAGCCCCTTTGTGCCTTCCAGACTCTGCACCCATCTCCACTGTCTGCACCAGTCCATTGCACACAGGGAGCAGCCTTTGAGTTAATCCCCTGAACTGCCATCGGCATGGAGGCTGTCAGATGGCCTAGGCCACTGGAGGGGCTGGCAGGTGAGTAGCCGTGTTCTACCATGAGAACAAAGCTCCTTCATGGTTCCTGGACTCTGTGCCTGTCTCCACTGTCTGTGGCAATCAGCCTTGCGCAGGGCACAGCCTCTGGGTCTGGGATGGTTAGCCAGGCACAGGGAGAAGCATCTGTGCTGTGCTATGTGGTTGCTGTAGGTGGGGCTGCTCCCTGGCTGTTCTGCAGCAATGGCGGGCCAGCCTGTTTGCTTGCAGTGTCACTGGGGGGGTTGGGGAGGTAAGAGCAGCAGGCTGCTTATTGCCTCAAGGGGCTTCGGAGCTGTGTTGCCACCCAGGGGTTTAGGGTGCCTGACATTCCTTTAAGTTCCCAGCCTACTGGGCTGAGTGTTCCAGGACAATTTTGTCCACCTGTTAAACCCTTGTTCCTTTAAGACTTTTAAAGCATCCACTTTTCTTTTGTCCCAGCGGAACCAGCTGTGGGAACCTGTTTGCAGTCTCAATCTCGGACCTTCTTTTTCTTCTCCTCCAATATCCAATGCACCATGGAATGTGGGTCTGTGCTCCCGGGGGCAGACCATCAGAGCTGGTTGTTTAGCAGTCCTATGCTTCCACTCCCTCCCCACTCTGATTCCCTTCTTCCCGCCAGTGAGCTGGGGTTGGGGTAGTGCTTGCATCCTGCCGGGTCACAGCTTTGTATTCTACCCTTTTCCATGAGATGTTGGGCTCTCGCAGATGTAGCCTGGCTCCTGTATCTTCTGGTCACTTTTTTAGAAATAGTTGTACTCACTGTATTTTCAAAATATATATGGTTTTGGTAGGAGATTTCCGTCACTCTACTCATGCTCCCATCTTGAGAGTCTCCTCTTCAATCTTTTACCTGATGGTTTTGGCACCTCCTTATGATCTTTGCCTGTATTCATTATGTCAATAGAGTTTTCAAAATGAGGAGTTTTAGCAACTTTTTATTTTGCGATAATTATAGATTTATGCATTTGTAAGAAATAATAGACATTTTTTATGCCCTTCACACAATTTCTCCCAATGGTAACATCTTGCTGGAGTGTAGTCTGGTATCACAACCTGGGAACTGGTATTGAGATAATCCAGGGACCATATCAAGATTGCACTAGTTTAACATGCACTTGTGTGTATATGCATGCACATGCATATATATATTTCTTATGCAATTTTATCACATGTGTAAATAAATATGGATAATATCACAGTCAAGAATCAGAACATTTCCATCATAAGAATTTCCCATGCTACCTTTTTATAGACATAGGCACACCCTTCCCTAACCCAGGCAACAGTAGTCTGTCCTTCATTTCTATCGTTTTATCATTATAAGAATGACATATAAATGGAGTTATACAGTATGTAAGTTTGAGACTGGCTTTTTTGTTCAGCTTAATTCCCTTGACATCCATCCGCCAAGATGGTTATGTATATCAATAGTTTATTCCTTTTATTGCTGAGCAGTATTGTGTGGTGTGGATATACCACAGTTTGTTTAACCATTCATGTGCTAAAAGACATTTCTTTTGTTTCCAGCTTTTGGATATTACTACAAGCATTCATATATAGGATTCTGTGTGAACATGAGTTTTCGTTTTTATGGCATAAATGCTTAAGCATGCAATTATTGGGTTGTATGATAAACACATCTTGTTCTGTAAGAAACTGCCATATTCTTTTCCAGGGTGGCTGTACCATTTTGCATTCCTACCAGCAGTAAATGAGGGATCTAGTTTCTCTGTATGTTCACCAACAGTTTGTGCCATTCTGGTAGGCATGTAAATCATGATTTTAAAATTCTGTCTTTCAGAGCTTTGTAGCTGTAATTCTTCTATAAAAAATAATTTTGCTTCATCAGCTGTTTGGTAAACTTTAAACAATGTGTGTAAGAAAGGCATAAAATATTTGATTATTTTTCTAATTTCTATGCCCCACTCCACCTGCATAAGCCAACTTTCAGAAAATTAAGTGCCCTTTTAGCTTCCAGAGTGACTAATTGGTGATTAGATATTTTTAAAGTTATCATTATGAACTTAAAGATTTTAAAAATATTTGATGTGATTATCTTCCCAGGTTAAATTGGTAGGATTTAATTGGTAGAATTTGCCGTGTCAAATGGTAGGCAACTTTAAAATTTTGATACAGATTACCTCACTACTCTCCAAATGGCAGGGTCATTTTATGTTTTTGACAGTAGTATATAAAAATATTTATTTCTCCACATTCTGGCCAACACTGGTTTGACCAGTTTTTATTTTAAAAAATTTTACAGATCTGATGGCAGCATTAATATCTTGCTGCTTCTATTTGCAGTGCTTTAGTTACTAGTCAAGTTGATCATCTTTTCACATTACTGACTTTTTAAAAATTTAGCCAATCACCTATTAGTTACCTTTTACCCATATTTCTACTAGGATATTGTTTGTCCTTATATTTTTATATTGTTATACCCATCAACCTTTTCCTTCACAGCTCCTGATTTTTATTTGCTTACAAAGGCCTTTCTTACCTTGAGGATATAAAAATATGTACCCATTTTTCTAGTGCCTCTCTATGATCTTACGGTTGAATTTAAATATTTGTTCCATGTACGATTTATTTTTGTACAGGAATGAGGTAAGAGGCATTACTTTTTTCCAAATGTCTGACCAGTTACCAGTGACCAGTTTTCCCAACCATTTCTTAGGTAAACTATCTTTTCTTTTCCCCACTAATGTGAAATGCCACTCTTATACTACATCCTCTAATTTTGACTCTATTTCTAAGTTTTCTGTTGTGTTCCACTGTTATGTCAGTCTATCCTTGCCTCAGCATCACAGCTTAAATTATTATAGCTTGATTGTCCTTTATATTTTTTATTAGATTTTATAAATGTGTGCAAATTATGCCAGCTTATTTATGTATTACTATTATATGTCTGACTATTGCTTTATAATGTGTTTTAATAATTGGTGTTGGTGGCCTCTTTTTTCTTCTTTTATGACTGAGCTCAAAAAATTAATTCTTCCAGATAGATTTTAGAAATATTTGTGACAAGTTTCCTAAACCACCCTTTTATATTTTGATTGGTATTTTATTCAATTTATAGATTAATTTAGGGAGAATTGGTTTCTTTACAACGTTCAGCCTTCATAGTTAGGATGATCTATCAATTCATTTATTCAAATCTTCTTTTACATCCTTGGGTACTTTTTTATTTAATTTATCTGTAGGTTTATTGTTTCTGGGTTCTCTGTCCCTTCAATTGAGAAGTGCCTTTTATACTTGATCAGATTCATTTTTTTAAACTAGGTTAAACCTTCTGGGAAAATGTCAGATTTTATAGTCTGTAATATTAGCTTTGTAAACTGTCTCTTGAGTATGTCTGCCTCCCTAAACTAATAAGTTGTATTTCCCACAGTCCTTGAGGCAAAGAAGACGATGGTTTCCTTCTGATACTTATATAATAGTAGCTTCTGATAGCTACTATTATAATTTATCATTGGGTATAAACCACAACAAATTTCTGATGAAGATAACAATACATTGTTGACCAAAATTAAATATTGATGTGAATTTGGAGTTTTAAATGGAAAATTTCAACTATTTAAGTATGATATTGGGGCAGCATTTTACTATGTGAAGAAACAAACCTACAATTATGAAACAATTTCATAAGGCGTGCATGTGCCAGCCTGCCTGGCTCTTGGTTAGACCATTTATATGATTTTTTTTCATTGCATCTGGGACTACAGTATATTTATCTGCTGAGTACATGAGCTGTCTTTATGCCCAAACCTGTTTTGTTCCAGGAAGACTATTGATAAAAGCAGCAGCTATTCATTGAGATCCAACTCTGTGTTGTGGCTAAGAGGTAGAGCTGATGTTTCAGTACATCTGTCCAGTTCTAAATTACTTGGGGACATTAACTGCAGAATAGGGCTTCCCAGCATGTCAGACTCTCTGTACATGGATATGTTTTGGAGAGCTTCTTTGTTGTTTTGGGGCCTAGGTGAGAAGAGGAGTGGTCGTAATTTTAACAAGCCTGTTAACACTGCTTTAAAGTTCAGAAGTGTTTTTAATATCTCTTTTCAGGAGATAACTATTCATTAAGTATTCAAGTATATTTTAAATTGTAATTTCCTATATGTCTGCTGAACTGCTATTAATCAGAATTTTGGGGGAGCATTTGTAAACCAGATTTAATAAGATATGGTGTGATAGCTAATATTGGAATTATCAAAAGATTTGTTAATTTAAGGTCATTAAACACTAACCGAGATTATAAGGTAAATCCTTACTTTATATTAGAAGGGAGAAAATTATTTTCAGTTTGTTAAGAATCACTCATTTAAGCATAAACTCTATACTACAAATTATTTTATATATTAAATCAGCTTGAACCTTTGCTTTTCATACATAATGTGCTATCTAGTCTCTCACACTTAGTTAATTATTTGTATAAGCATTCCATGACTCAGAGAGACCTTATAGGTCAAATTAGTGTGACTTGTTTGGGTATATTATGAAATATTCCCAACATGCTGTTTCCAGTTTTGCAGTTAACAATTTTACTGTTAATGTTCTTTTACAGTCCTCTTGCACATATTTGAGAGATTCTCTAGAGATATCTATGAATGAAATTGCTGGATGGAAAGGTATGTGTATCTTCAGCTTTACTGAATAGTTGCCAAATTGTTTCCAAAAGTATACCAATACCCATTTGGAGGCCCACCTTCACTGATTACATTTCCATCATTCTTGCCAACACTAGGTATTGTGAGACTTTCTAATTTGTCAGTTGATGAGTGATATATCTCATGGTTATCTTAAATTTCTCTGACTACTAGTAAGGTTGGACATCTTATGTTTATTAGTATTACATGTGTTTTTTCCTAGTACTTACTGTATTTATGGCTGACATGTGTATGCAGAGTTGAAAATAGCATGAAGTAGTACTAACTAGAGATATACCATAACTGTATCTTTAAAACATTGGCAACTTCACAAAATTTTTAGGGAAAGTAATTTGGGGTGATTTTCTGATAGCATAAGAGAGAGCATGAACTTTGGAATTAAATTGATGCTTAAACCCTGGCTCTGTTGTTTATAGCTTTATGACATTGGGCAATTTGTGCTATTTCTCTTTTTTCCTCATTCATAAAATGAATATAATATCTCATGGTTTGGTGACAGAATGAAATAAGCTAACATAAACACCTGGCATATAGCACTAGTACATTATTCTAGGATGAAGTAGACATAGTCAAACTAAACAATTGTGTGAAAGATGGGTAATACCATGGTACAAAATTAAATCAACACTGAAATCTGGTAGCATTTGTGAGATTAAAATGTGATCTTTTGATAGTTGACTCTAAGGCAAATGGATACCTCATCTCAGGGCCTATTTAAGAGATTACTGGCATAGAAAATCCAAAGCAGTCCTTTATATGCTATGTATCTGTGTTTAGCAACCGTGTTTTTCCTATATACACAGCCACACATGCCTGTGTCGTGGGTGTGCCTCTCCTCTGCCAGTCAGAATATCCGTGGCTGTTACAGAGATATCCGGAATCATAGTGGATAGGTGGGAGTAACCTTGGGACATTCTGGCCTGGGTGTGGGACTCTGTCACTAACTGTACGGTGTGGGAGAGGTGGGCTGGGTGCCAGAGAGGTGATGGTGGAAATGCCAGGCTCATGGCTGACTGTGGTTTGATGTTATTTAGGCTGTTCTCATGTCTCTTGCCACAGGAATTTCTCCACATGGATTCCGAGGAAGTGACCATTACAGTTCGCCTCATTCGTTCATTTGAGTATCATAATTTCAAACCTGTGGTATATCACGGAGTTAATTTGGACCAAACCGTAAAGGAATTTATCCTATTTCTAAAGAAAGGTATGTGGTGTCTTGATCATTTTGTTTTGGGAGTATTTTGAAAAACTAGTGGACTATTACATTGATAGTGATCTTTTACAAACATTTAAAAAAAAATTAATCTAGGTTCTGTGCCAGGTCCTTCCTGTTCTGGGCCTTGGCACCAGCAGATTCTCCTTAGCACTCACTTAGCCTCGAGTGTGCCCTCTTTAAAGGTTGTTACCTTCATGTATGGCTCCTCCCCTCCTGCCCTTTTTTTTTTTAATTAAAAAATCTTAAGGTTTAGCTTTGCTTGTAATGGGTTTACATATTTGGAAGTTGATTAATAAGGGAGTCTAGCATAACTAATTGTGTTACCTGGCTAAGCACACAGAGGACCTCTTTGGGGGCATGGCAGGGAGGTGGCAGGCCTGTGTCTATACAGCCAGGAAGTCATGAGAGCTGTTGGTCATTGTAGCCACAGAAATGATGGCCAGATGCCTGGTCAAGGGCACATTTATCTTTTTGAGCTTAAAATACGTTAGGCATGAAGTTAGTTTTCATAGGTCCTTGATGGGTGTCTAACCTGTTTTTAATCATTGAAATGTTCCAATCATCATTAGACAAAACATTTAGAATAAACTTATTATTTTAATGGAAGCATAATTGATGTATGGTATAATGTACAGATCTTAGTGTACACTTCCATGAGTATTAACAAATGTACACTTTATATCTAACTTAATTTTTTTTTACTTTGACATATTTGCAGACACAGAAAAATTGCAAAAACAGGACAAAGGGTTCCTGGATGCCTTCACATGATTTCCAAAATTTCAACATTCATTACATGTCTTTTATCCCTTCCGTACCCCTACCCCCAGTTCCACTCTCCTCTCACTCTCCTCCCCCTCCCCCATGTTTTTCTAATAAACCATTTTGAAGAATGTTGCTGACACTGTTCTCCTCTACCACTAAATATTTCAGTGTGTATTTCCTAAAAAACAAGGGGTTCTCTTATGTAATCACAGTACAATGATCAAAATCAGGAATTTAATATTGGAACAATACTGTTACCTAATTTACATATTTATTGAGATTTTAATTGTCTCAATATGGTCTTTTTGTAATAGAAGAAAATCCAAGGTTCTATGCTATGTTCAATTCCTTTAATCTGAAATTAATTTCTTTAATATAGAGTTTTTGTAGTTCATGACACTGGCAGTTTTAAATAGTATACAGGCCAGTTATTTTGTAGAAGGCTCCCCAGTTAGGTTTTTCTGATGTTTTCTCAGTTAGGTTTAGTCCATGCCATTTGGCAGGGCGGCAGTGCAGTGACCCCAGAGGTGTGTGCTGCTGACCAACCCCGTGACAAGCAGTGGTTAGCATGCTGTCTGCCCACTGTCTGCAGGGTTTCTCCACTGTAAATTTTCATTGTAATTGGAAAGTAACTTGTAGGAGTATATCCTGAGACTATGTAATAAATATCTCATTACTTCTAAAACCACTTGTTTAACTGTTTAACATTCCTTGGTGATTCTTGCCTGAACCAATTATTAATATGACAAATTGACAAGTTGCAATTTTTCAAATTCTGTCATTCCTTTTACAACTATGACTAAAATTAGTTGTTTTTTTACAATAAGGAAGGACGGTCAAATCTCATCCCTGTCCTATTTATTTGATCATTTGTTTATACCACTGTGGCTTCCTGAATTCTGACTTTATTCAAATGATTATAATTCTTTATTATCATTTATTTTGATGCTCTGATTAGCCCCATTTTGGGCAGTGGTAGACCCTTAAGTCTGGCTCTGTTTCCTTTTATTATGCCCCCCTGATTCTCTGAGTACTTCCTTACTTTTTGGTGTAATGAGATGGTCCAGACTTGTCCTGTTCTTCCTCTGTCCCAGCCCTGGAATCAGCCATTTCTCTGATGGGCTCTGATTCTGTTACTGGAGAATGGTTATTGGAAAACCAAGGTCTTGGTTCATATGCAATATAAGTGTATATAGCAAACTTTCAAGAATGTAGTGAATTCTTGGCATTTTACTTCCTGATTGACTTTGTAAGTTTTCTAACTCTACTCTCCCCACCCCCACCCCCCAATTTTGGGTAGTTTTACTGCTCACTATTACCTGAGGAGGGCTTAGGTGAGGTAATAGACTCATAAAGAGATAGACTCATCAGTCTACCCTGTAGTGACTATCAAAGATTTCTTAAGGAGAACATAATTATTCCTTACAGTAATTACAGGCTTACATACAGAGCATATATTTTTATTTCTGTGTTCATAATTGTTAGGGGGAGATTGAGAGTTGGTATTTAGTTATTGCCAATTCCAGAGTGTTCTGCTTTTGAAAGGGTATCACCAAAAGCATATTTGGATTTTGAAATACAAACAAAACCCTACATTTTTAACAATCTTTATGCATATTATGGGTCACAGTGTTTCTTGGTGTAGATACAGTTAAGTGTTATGATGGTCCTGGTTCAGTGCAGAATGGGTTTTTCTTGAAGTCCTTGAGAATAAGATAAAATCTTCAAGCTGTAACAGTGGCAGGGAAGAGGTCTTCCTCCCCATGTCCTTGTGCTCTTCTCCCCCAGGTGCTGAGGAATGCATCCCTCTTAGAGCAGTGGTGTGGCTCCCAGCCAGGGGCTCAGCCACGCCTCCCTCCTGTCCTCACTGTGTTGTAATAATACATCCACTACTTGTTTCAGTTGTGCTTGTGGGAAATGTGTTCCACAGACTAAAATAAAAAGTGAGCATTTGGGGTACAGACTCTTTTGAGTTGTGGACTTTGTACCTAAGCCTGTCTGTCATCTGATTTGAGGTACTGTAGAACTTTGAAAGTTTGGTGGGCCACATATTTACCTTTTATGAACTGTGTACATAAGAAAGACCAAGTAGTTTTTTACTAAGGAATCTTTGAAAACGTTAGTATGTATTGGGCATTGTTCTAATAAATTTAGCTAGATTATCTCATTTCATCCTCACAGAATCCCTCTAAATTAGGAGCTGCTATTATCCCCATTGTACAAGTGAAGAAACTAAGGGACAGAGAGGCTAAGAAACTTTCCTGAGATTCCGTGGCTTGTAACAGGCAAAGCTGACATCCAACCAGGCAGTTGAACTGTACAACGTGTACTCTTAAAACTACACTGTTTCCTCTTTATCTTCTTTACTACCTAACTTGCTTAAATGTATCTCTGGAATAAGTGGATTCACCCAGTGTAATAGTCTTTGACTTCAGTTCCTCTTGTCCTAGTGGTGTGAACACCGAAAGCCCAGAAGGGTGGTTTGAACTTGTGGCAGAGCGAATTTGGCACACAGCCAGAAATGGTCTTTGGGAGTGATCTTTTGGGGTTATTTAGATGCTTTCTTGCCTTGCTAACTCTTCTTTTCTTATCATAGTCATTTTTTTGCCATCCATAGCTTAACCTAGTCTCCTGCCATCATTGTATTTCTCCCTTGGCCAAGAAATTTTGGTTAAATTTGATTCATTCTCCATTGAGAATCACTGGACCACACATCATGTCATTTCCATTAAAACCTAATATGTATAAGTATAATAGGTACTAAAGTTGTATAAATATAGTATATATAAAAAGTATAAGCTCATATTTATAAATAAGATAAATGTGATTATGTTTATGTGTAATTATATAAATATAAATAATACAAACCTATTATTGATATGTAGGTATTGTTTGTTTATCAGATGTTCTGATCACAGAGGTACTATATCTATTGCCTTTTATATGACTAATTTTCTAGAGTCAGAATAATCATACAAACCAGTTATCTAGATAATAGAACACATTTTAATTACTCTTTTATTTGGAAGCATTTCAATACTTTGTAAGGCTTCAGATATTGTTTCTGATTATAAAATAATTTCACTGATAAGAAGAAGAAAGCTGTGGAGATTTTGTCCAACTGTCCAGTCAAAACTTCCTTATTTATACCTTATTACTCCTGGTGATATGTTTCTTTGCAAAGCTGTCTATTCTTCTGTTGGGTGAATATTAGAATATATTTTCTTTGTATCTTTTTTTTACCTTATATATTTTTTTATGTCTAATGCTCCTACCCACACTTTCTCCTATTAACATCTTGAATTAGTTTGCTACATGTATTGCAATTAGTGAACCAAAATTGATGCATTATTAACTAAAGTCCATGGTTTCTTCAGGTTTCCTTAGTTTTTACCTAATGTCTTTTTTCTGTTCCAGGATCCCTTCTGGGGTTTCACGCTATATTTAGTTGTCATGTCTCCCTAGGCTCCTCTGGGCTGTGACAATTTCTCAGATTTTTCCTGTTTGATGACTTTGATAGTTTTGAGGGGTACTGGTCCAGCCTACTGTAGGATACCCCTCTGTTGGAATTTGCCTGATACTTTCCTCAGGATTAGATGAGGCTATGGGGTTTTGAGAGGAAAGTCACAAAGATAAAGCATCACCTTTATCAGATCATATCATGGGTACATATTTTCTACATGATTTATGACTGCTGATGCTGACCTTGATCACTTGGGTGAATTAGTGGTAGGTCTCTCCATTGCAAAGGTACTCTTTTCTGTCCCCTTTTTCATACCATACTCTTTCCAAGGAAGTCACTCTGCACAGTCCCAGCTAAAGTAGTGGAAAGTTATGTTCCCCTTCCTTTTGGGTATAACTTCTACATAATTTACTTGAAATTCTGCATGGAAGATTTTATTTTGTTGTACAAATTGTTCCAAGAGCTCTTTGGGGTGTCACTTTTTTAGGCTCTGTCAGATGATCAAAGAAATATAACAATCTGTGTGTATACACATCTCTATAAATATTTTCATGTTACCATCTGTATCTAGATGTTCAAAGTTCTTTCTCATGTTTCCAACTCTAGTCCATTACCACATGGATCATTACAGCTTCTTCCCCCTGGGAACCGTATTCCCTCTCCAGCAGTGAGAAACCTGGCTCCCATCGTGTGCCATCCCTTTATGTGTTTAATTCTAGTACCCAGGTTGCTCATCTTTGCCCTGTGGGCAGCAACTTGA